GCGGGGAGGAGGACGAGGAGGAAGGGGGCCCAGACGACGGGGAGGCCGAGGAAGAGCCCGAAGAGGAGGAAGAGGAGGAGGAGGAGGACTTGATCGATGGCTTCGCTATCGCTAGCTTCTCCAGCTTGGAGGCCTTGCAGGTGGGGCCTGATGGGAGTGGGGGTTTCGGGGGTGGGGGGGGGCGTCAGAGGGACAGTGAGAAAGTGCTAGTGCCCCGAGTGGGTGGAGTTGAGGGGGGAATGCTGGCACCCCAAACCAGAGCAACCGGCTTCTCTGGCCAGCTCTCTGCCCCACCCTGGGTGGGAGGAGGTAGAGCCTAGTCCCCGGGGACCCGCCAGCTTCCCCGGGCTTCGAGTCACTTCGGCAGCCTGGTCACCTCCAGAGAGATGAGGAGCTTTCTTTCCTCCACCCACCTCAGTCCCACCTCCTCCCCCACAGAAGGATGCATCTCTCCAGCCCCCAGAGCGACTGGAACATCGGCTGAAGCATTCTGGGAAGCGGAAGAGGGGGGGCTCCAGTGGGGCCACTGGCGAGCCCGGGGACAGCTCTGATCGGGAGCCGGGCCGGCCCCCTGGGGACCGGGCCCGAAAATGGCCCAATAAACGGAGGAGGAAAGAGGTGAGCTTGCCCCACATTCCCATCCTGTAAGACTCCTGAGGCAAGGGTGTCACTGGCCTGGGCCCTGTTTCCATCCCCGCCACCACCACCACCACCACCATGTAAATAGGGACTCCAGTGCCTGAGGGCTTTGCCCTCGGGTCGGACAGAGCAAAGCTGGGAGGCCTGGACACGGGACAGACCCAGCAAAGAGTTGTCCGCACTCGGGCCCACACTTGGGACCGCCACGCATTCTCTGAAGCAAGCTGCTAACCCGTGGGGGCACTGAAAGGGGCTTGAAGTACTTAAGTCATGGGAGACAAGTGAGTTAGATGCGGTCCCTGCCTGCCCCTCAAAGCGGTGACAACCCAGCAGGAAAGCACTAGTCAACAGACACCTGTCCAGGGTGGAACCTGAGAGGCTCCAGAAGGCAGAGATCTGTGAGAAATGTACAGAGACCCACATGAGGAAGCCACGTCACTGCCTGGGTACTAGGGACGGAGTGGTGCTTAGGGAAAGCCCCCTAGGATGTCTTAGTCAGGCCTGGGAGGAGAGTGAGGCATTTGCTAAGAGGAGAAATGGGCCAAAGTGGCTTGAGACCAAAGGACAGCCCGGTGAGAACCGGGGAGGGGGGACTGGGAAATGGTGATTGCCTCTGGAGCGCAGCAAGCAGAAGCAGCTAGGGCAGCAGTGGAGAGCAGATTGCCAGGCCTTGAGGGCCTTGCCTGGGGAGTTTGGACCTTATCCGAGGAGTCAGCCAGTCAGCCTCCCTCACCTCTGGACTCTGGTCTTTCCCAGGCCTCCTCCCGGCACTCTCTGGAAGCGGGATACATAGTAAGTACCATCACCTTGCCCTGGCCCCTGCCCTTCCACTCCCCCACTTAAAGTCCCCTCTCCACCCTCCTCTACTCCTCTTTGCCCCTGTGACACCTCTGTCTTTCCTTCCCCCCAGTGTGATGCTGAAAGCGATCTGGACGAGAGGGTGAGTGGGGACAGAACCTGTGGAGAGGGCAGTGTCACAGTCTGTCAAATGGACTATGGTTCCGAGGGCTCCCAAGCTTAACGGAATGCCCTCTGAGTGGGTTGCATGGGTTGGCTGAGCCAGGGGGTTCGGTTTTGGGAGGCAGTTGGAGCCGGGTGGGTAAGTGAATTCCTTGCTATGGAGGCTAGAGCTAGCTAACCAGAGAGTGGAAGGCCCACGTCTTGATGGACCATCCTTTCCAGAGCTCTTGGATCCCTCAACAGTTGGCCAGGGACATCCAGAATGCCTGAGGAACTGGGCTGGCCCCTCCTACTGGCCATTAGTGTGCTCTGCTAGAGCGGAGGGACTGAGCAGATCCCTCAGGAAGGCCCCTAAGCCGCTGTAGTGAGAACCAGGCCCAGCCAAGGTGGATTTCAGTTCATCAGGGCTGCTTAGCTTGTGATGTAACGTGGCCCAGCAGTTGCTCCTCTGCCCACCTGGGCCTTGGCAAGCAACGTGAGTTTGTACTCTCTGATGTGTGTGTCCTGTAGGCTTCTCAAGTAGAGGCTGTGGGGAAACCAGGCAGTGGCTGCTGTCCAGCTCGACCCAGTTTTTGTCAGGCCAGCATAGGGCTGATTCTCAAGATCAGCTGAAACGTCTGGGTTTTTCCCAGGACTTGCCCAACCATGCGCCTATTTGTGTGCAAGTTTTTGTGGACACTTGTAGGTCAGATTGCTCTGTAGGCCAGCAGTTGGTGATACCTGGCCCTCTCGCTTGAATTTGCCTGCTCCTGGCTGCTTCCATCAGGCCTGGCCTGCCAGATTGGTGGGCGGGGCTTCTCGGCCTTTTCCCCCCAACATGGGCAGTTAGAGCCCTGGGCTTTGATGGACTTTAGCTAAGCTAATGCCACAGACTTGGCACTGCCACCGACCAGTCCCTCAGGCTCCAGAGGCTGTTCACCCTCCTGAGTGGACACCTAGCCTGACCCATATCTGACCCTGTCCCTACCCTTCTTCCCCAGGTCTCCGATGATGACCTCGACCCTTCCTTTACTGTCTCAACCAGCAAAGGTTGGTTCCAAGGGCCAGAGCTGGAGACGAGGGAGGGCAGGGGGGTGAGCAGGGGGCCTTAACTGAGCCAGTTTGTCTTCTCGCCCTCGCAGCCTCCGGCCCCCATGGCACCTTCAATGGGAACTGTGAAGCAAAACTCTCTGTGGTCCCCAAAGTGTCGGGCCTGGAGCGGAGCCAGGAGCAGCCCCCAGGGCCCGACCCGCTGCTAGTGCCTTTCCCCGCCAAGGAACCACCACCTCCACCAGTCCCTCGGCCTCCTGCCTCACCCCCTGCATCCCTGCCAGCCACCCCCAGTCTGCCACCCCCACCCCAGCCCCAGCTGCAGCTTCGGGTCTCGCCCTTCGGCCTCCGCACTTCTCCCTATGGCAGCAGCCTGGACCTCAGCACTGGCAGGTGAGTGGTCTAGAGCTCTCGTCTGGTCTGGAAGGGCTTGGCCCTTTTGCCACCCACCCCTGCATCCAGCGGCTGGGACATGGGCTGGGACTCTTGGGCTATGACTTGAAGAAAGATTCTGAGGCCCAAAAGTGGCATAGACACTCTGGGTGGTGAGACGCAGCCCCAGAGATGGAAGCAGGGCTAGGCCCAATGTGGGGGGGCCCGGTCTGTGTGGTTCCCAATGTATTTTGCTGGTGGGACCTTTCTTCAAGGCACACCTGCTGGGGACGGGGTGTTTGGAACCTACTTGGGGAAACATTGGCATGCTTAGGTGTGCTGGCTCTGGCGTCCATCAGACCTCTGTTCAAATTCTCTGCTGTGTACTTGGCTGTGTGGCTTTTGCCAAGGCACTGACTCCCTCTGAGCCTCAATTTCCTCTTTCCATAAAATGGGGTGATGATAGCACCTTTACCCTGGAGCCATCGTGAGAATCAACTGTGAGCTGAAGTAGTTTCCCCCAAAGTGTCTGCCCTTCCCACAGGGGTATTTGAGGTGACTCAGCTCTTCGCGTGCAGACTCGTTCTTCTCCAGCAGCCCTGTGTTAGGTTCAGGAGCCCCTCGGCACAGTGGGGTTCAAGTTGGGCTGCTAACGACACAGTCAGCCTCTGGACACACCAGCTGCTCTGCGGGAGACAGGCTCTCTCATTGGAGTCCAGGAAGCCCACAGGGGCAGCCCCACCCAGTCGCTATAAGTCCGAATCAACCTGGTGGCAGTGAATGTGTGTTTTGAGTGCCAGCTCATGCGCTTTAGAAAAGCTCCAGGGGACCTTTACCCCCTTGATGGCCCGTGGCATTTCTTAGGGCGAGGCTAAGTCAAAAAGACTTTGTAAAGGGAACAGTAAACCGTCCGTCCAGGCTACTTGCCCAGATTTGGTCACGATGGGGAAAGTGGTAGAATGTTGGCAATCTGGTGGGGGTAGATGAAGCAGGTGACGGCATCTGGCGCACAGTAAATGCTCGCCGAAGGGTAAGGGTTACTGATTGTGTCCATGCTGTCTGCCCTCAGAAACCCTCAGGGCCAGTGCGACCCTGTCCTGTTGGGGCACTCTGAGCCAGTATCGACTCGATGGCAGTGAGTTGGGTTTGTTTGGGGTTTTTTTGGGGTGGTGGGAGGATGGGAGGGGGGCCGGCTTGCTCATACTGTTACTGGCATTCTTATTCTTGCTAATATCTTTGGGAAAACTGAGGCTCAGAGAAGGTCATTGACTTGCTTTCGGCGACCCAGCTTGCCAATGGCAAGGTGGGCCTAGAATTCCAGCTTCCTAACTCCCAGGCCAGGACTGCTTGGTGATGGTGTTGCTTCTACCGGAGGTGGGGGTGGGGGTGGGGGAGGGGGCGGAGAGAGACCCCAGGTGGCCTATCGTAATGAAGTGTCAAAATGAATGAGGTGTTTCATGCGGTTGAGTCAGAATAGGGTAGGTCATGTGACTGGAGGTGTCAGGAGCAGCTTTGTGAAGAGAGGGCTGGGAAGGGAGGGGTTGGTGCTAGAGGGGTCACCTCAGTCAGAGGCCTGCTTCCCTGGGTGGGGTGGGAGTGTGGGGGTCGGGTTCCATCACCTCCCATGCTGGAGAACCAAGGTCAGGCCTCGTCCAGGCTTCTGACCCCTTCCCGTCAGAGCTGGCACCGCCCAGCCCCCTCACTCATCTCCCCACTTCTCTCCCCAGCTCTTCACGGCCGCCCCCCAAGGCCCCGGCCCCTCCCGTGGCTCAGCCTCCCCCCTCATCATCCTCTTCGTCCTCTTCCTCCTCATCTGCCTCCTCCTCGTCCGCGCAGCTCACCCACCGGCCCCCGACGCCCTCACTGCCCCTGCCTTTGTCCAATCACAGCTTCCCCCCACCTGGACTGCGCCCCCCACCACCCCACCCCCACCCCTCCTTGTTCTCCCCTGGCCCCACCCTGCCCCCACCCCCACCCCTGCTGCAGGTGCCAGGGCACCCTGGGGCCTCAGCGGCTAACGCCCTGTCTGGTGAGTTTGGGGTCCTGGCCGGCGGGTGGGGGACCATGGCCCGGGGCTCTGGGGCAGTTGGCAGGTAGCAGGGCTCATGGAGGGAGCGGTGAAGGCCAGAAGGGAAGGCCAGTGGCCGGGCCTGGTACCCACAGGCCTGAAACCTTCCCTCCCCCCACAGAGCAGGACCTGATCGGCCAGGACCTGAACTCGCGCTACCTGAATGCCCAGGGTGGCCCTGAGGTGGTCGGGGCAGGGGGCTCAACCCGCCCCTTGGCCTTCCAGTTCCACCAGCACAACCACCAGCACCAGCACACCCACCAGCACACCCACCAGCACTTCACCCCTTACCCCCCGGGCCTGCTGCCGCCCCACGGCCCCCACATGGTGAGCTCCTCAGTGGGCTGGTGAAGAGGCTCTAGGCTTGGAGGCCTGGTTGCGGGGTGGGGGGACGAGGGAGGGAGGGAGGATGTGGCTTCCGGCAGAAGGCCCTGACTCTTGGCCTGGCACCTTATTCTTCCCTTCTTTAGTTTGAGAAGTATCCAGGCAAGATGGAAGGCCTTTTCCGGCATAATGTGAGTGTCTGAGGCTGGGGGTGGGACTGGGAGAGGGGCGGGTTTCGGGGAATGGCATGCAGCAATGCATAAATGCCCGTGGCCGTGATGTTGGGGTCCAGGCTTCAGTTTTAAAAGCGGGGGCCTGGGAGAGCGGGTTGAGGGGTGGCGGCTAGAGGACTGACGGGCAGACCTCTGGGCTATACCCCCAGCTTGGACCGGCCCCCTTCTCTCCACAGCCGTACACAGCCTTTCCTCCTGCGGTACCTGGCCTGCCTCCGGGCCTTCCGCCAGCTGTGTCCTTTGGCTCCCTGCAGGGGGCCTTCCAGCCCAAGGTGAGCCCCCAAGTCACCCCCCAGACCTTCCCATTCCCCACAGCCAAGACCATCCTGCCCTCCTTCCCCTCTGGGCCCACATTTCCCCACAGCCCCGTTTCCACCCCCGCCCTCCTCCAGCTGGGTGCCCTGACCAGCTCTCCTGACAGTCCTGTCACCCCCTTTCACAGAACACAAACCCTGAACTACCACCAAGACTGGGGCCGGTGCCCAGTGGGCTCCCTCAGAAGGGGACACAGGTGAGGGGACCGACACAGATGGGGGTGACTGCACAGTGTGCTAAGGGGGAGTGCGTCTAACAAAGAGAGGAGGTTTCTGTAAACCAGGGTTACAAGCCCCCAGAAAGAAGCCAGTGGTACTTACAGGGGTCTTTTTAAAACTTTTGAAGTCATAGAACCCTATTTTCAAATGACATCTAATCAGAAAACTGTCCACAAAACCTAAGAAGCAGCAAGGGGAGCCAGTACCACCTCACCCACTTAGGCAGGTGGAGACCCCCAAAGCCCACAAGTGGCTCTAGGAACAAGACTGGAAAAGGTCTCAACTTCAGGTCTGGGAGTGGGGTGGGGGGCGGGCGTGGGTAGTCTCCCTACCACCGTGCGGATGCAGCAGGATCCTGGCTGGAGGGTCCTTATTGTATCACGCTGTGTCAGGGTTGGGGAGCCTGTTAGCTGTCTGCCCTCTGACCTGTACCCTTACCCTGGGCCGCAGTGCAGGGATCTGCCCTACAGACTGGTGTTGGTGGAAGGACACCCAGAGGTGGGGAGAGGTGGTAAAAGAAGTTTGGACTCAGCGGGGAAGATTTAGGGGAGCCGCACGAGGTCTTGGTAGAAGCGTTGGGGCGGCAGGAGTGGGGGCGCATGTTACAAAAGTCCGCATTGATGGCAATAGACTTCCAATGTCTGCTTTGCATCCCAGATCCCTGACCATTTCCGGCCACCTTTGAGGGTGAGTTTGGCAAGGACCACAAGCTGCATGCGGCTGGGGCTGATGTTGTGGCTGCGGCCAGAGGGGACGGCTTTGCTTGAGAAAGACTCTCAAAGCGTGGGAGGGAAAGGCCGGGCTGTCACACACCTGGCTTCAGGCAGAACTGCCTGAGGGACCTGGGGCAAGACCTTGTCTCCCTGAGCCTTACTTTGCAGGCTGTAAAATGGACTTAGTCATCCCTGACTGTAGGGGAATGACTGTAAGGGCTGGTGTGGCGAGGCTGGCCTAGGGCCAAGCCCGGACAGAGCAAGTGATGCATGAATGTTCTCTCCTCGCCTTCCCTTGGGTCATCCTTCGGGGCAGCAGAAGCCAGGGAAGTGGTGTGCCATGCACGTGCGTGTGGCTTACATGATCCTGAGACACCAGGAAAAAATGAAGGTACGAGAGCAGAGGCTGGGGGGCGCAGGCCTGAGAGAGCTGGGGTAGCCCGAGCGCCGAGCTTGCACAGAATCCCAGTCAGAGACAGCCCCCACTGACCCTGTCACCATGTGAGTGATGATGCAGTCAGTGCTGCTGAGAGGCCAGCGGCTAGGCACTCCAGCCGGCTGGCCTTGGGGGCGCTCCAGGGCCTGGGGTGGTGGTGGGCGTTGTGAGAGCCAGCCCGCTCCTGGCTCCTCACTCACTGTCCCTTCCTGTTTCTTCACAGGGCGACTCCCACAAGCTTGACTTTCGGAATGACCTCCTACCCTGCCTTCCGGGACCCTACGGGGCTCTGCCCCCTGGGCAGGAGCTCTCCCACCCGGCCTCCCTCTTCACTGCAACTGGTGAGTCTGGCCAGCGCTCTGGGGTCTAGGAGTTCCCCATCTCTAGTCTTGAGGTTCTCCACCTTGTGCCCATTCGGCCTCATAGCACCTCCCACTTCTCTACTCCAGGTGCCGTCCACGCCGCAGCCAACCCTTTCACGGCAGCTCCCGGGGCCCATGGACCCTTCCTGAGCCCCGGCACCCACATTGGTAAGAGCCAAGGGCAGATGGACCAAGCCAGGCCTTGTCCCTGCCACCCAGGAGTTCTCAAGCCGTGGGGAAGGGCTAGACTCAGTGAGCCCCAGGCACGGTACTCCACCCTCTCTGAGCCTGGGTCTCCCTGTCCTTCACATGGGGTGGGGAAGACTGGAGTGGCTCCCCACTTCTGTGAGCTCCGCTCTGACACCTGCAGTGGCCAGTCGTAGGGGAGAGCAGCCACAGAGCAGGCAGGATGGAGGAGGCCCAGCAGGCCAGGAAAGTACGCACCCTGGGTCCTGGCAAGCGTAGCTGGCTTCTTGGTGAGACTTGGCTCACAGAGATGATGTGAACCTGAGGGCAAAGGAGTAGGTTTTCCTGGCAGAGGAAATTAGGAGGTTCCTATCGGGGCTAGTTGAGTTGTCTCACTGGCTGTGTGAAGGGCGTGAGGTTGGGCTCGCGCTGCGAGGGCCTCTGCTTGTCAGGGGTCTTTCTTCAAGTGGCTTCTTGTCACCCTGGGACTGCTACTATGGGCCTGGGTGGGCAGGGTGAGAGGGGTTAAAGACCCTGGGCTGGGCTCCTGGTGGCACTGGCTAGGTGACCATTGGCAAGACACTTCACTTCTCTGAGCCGTCTCCTCGTCTTGAAGCAAAAGTGAGTCTCGCCTGTCTCACAGGGCTAGGTGGGATGTCCATATGTGCCCCGCTGGCCCGAGTCAGGTGCATGAGGCCCTTGCTGGTTCAAGCCGAGCAGCGGAGGGCCCCAGAGCCAGCTTGTGCATCTGCTCCGCTTCGCCTGCCAGTCCCTTCTCAGTGCCCGCACACAGAGTTGGCTGCGCGGGTGCTGACCCTGGCTTTCCCCGACAGATCCCTTTGGGCGTCCCACAAGCTTCGCTTCCTTGGCTGCTCTCTCCAACGGGGCATTCGGCGGCCTGGGGAGCCCCACCTTCAGTGAGTGCCCAGCGGGCCCGGGGGCTGAGGGACTGGAGTCTGTGCTCAGACAGGGTGCTGGGCTGCCCAGGCCTGGTCCCTGCCATGCCCCCTTTGCCCTCTGCCTAGACTCTGGCGCCGTTTTTGCCCAGAAAGAGAGCCCCGGGGCCCCACCAGCCTTTGCCTCACCCCCAGACCCTTGGGGCCGCCTGCACCGCAGTCCTCTGGCCTTTCCTGCCTGGGTCCGACCCCCTGAGGCTGCCCGGACCCCAGGCTCAGACAAGGAGCGGCCTGTGGAGCGGAGGGAGCCCTCGATCCCCAAGGAGGAGAAAGACAGGTGGGCCCTGCCCTTCGCCGCCCACTTTCTCTGCCCACCCCGCCCAGGCCTCCCTGTCCCCTGGACCACACCTTCACTCTCTTGCTCCCCAGGGACCTCCCCTTCTCCAGACCCCAGCTCCGAGTTTCTCCTGCCACACCCAAGGCCCGGGCAGGTGAGGAAGGGGCCCGGCCAGCCAAGGAATCTGTGCGGGTGAAGGAAGAGCGGAAGGAAGAGGCCGCCACAGCAGCTGCAGCCGCTGCTGCAGCCGCTGCTGCCGCCGCCGCCGCCACCAGCAACGGGCCTCAGGGCCTTCACCTGCTGTTTGAGAGGCCCCGGCCACCTCCTTTTCTGGGCCCTAGTCCACCAGAGCGATGCGCTGGCTTCCTGGAGCCAACTTGGCTGGCAGGCCCCCCACGCCTTGCTAGGCCACCCCGTTTCTATGAGGCAGGTGAGGAGCTGACAGGACCTGGGGCCGTGGCTGCTGCCCGCCTCTATGGTCTAGAGCCTGCCCACCCTCTCTTATACAGCCGCTTGGCTCCTCCGCCGCCCCCTGCTGCGGCCCCAGGAGCCCCTCATCTTCTCAGCAAGACCCCACCAGGAGCCCTTTTGGGGGCTCCACCCCCACTTGTGCCCGCCCCCCGACCAGGTTCCCCCCCTAGGGCCCCAGGCCCTGCCCGGGCTGACAGGTGAGGGAGGGGGTGGGGCGAGGGACAAAGCTCTACCCCCCTGTCCTTTTGAGAAGATCCCAAGGCTGAGGTTTCAAGCCAGGGCTGGAGGGCAAAGGGCATGACCTCACCTGCCATCTCTGAGGTCATGGGACCTGGGAGCAGAAGCCCAACTACCATGGCATCAACATCAGGTGAACCATGGGGTCACTGGGAGGGCCGAGGTCACAAACCTAGAGAGAGGGGTATGTAGGTCTGTGTGTGTGTGTATGTATGTATGTATGTATGTATGTATGTGTGGGTGGGTGCGCGTGCGCGCATGTCTCTCCATGAGAGTGGGGGGTCATTTCAGAGCTCATAGCTCGTGATCTGAGGTGCATCTTCACCCCCTTTGAGGGTCCTTAGGCCCTTGACCTGCCTCCCTCCCCAAGGGCTCACTAAGCCAGAGGCCAAAGTGCCCCCCTCCCCCTACACCTACCACCCGAGTCTTCATGCCCTCTCAGGGCTGAGGGGAAGAGGGGCTAAAGGAAGGGGGGTTCCATGTACATATTTATCTCCCCTTCCACATAGCCCCCCAGACCTTTTGTACATTTTTACAGGGGTGCCCCTCCCAAGAACCCCACTTCCTGGGTAATTAAATCCTCAGACTGGTGCTGTGTTCCTAGCCTCTGGCCTCTCTGTGGGGGGAGGATGGACTGCAGGCCAGAGAGCCGGGAGGGGGTCGGCAGGACCCCAGAGCTTCTCCTGGAGAGGTGGGGTCCAGCAGGAGAAGGGGGCTAGGCTGGAGAGAAGGGCCAAGAATGCCTGCTTTGCAAACAGCCCGGCCTGCCAGGGTACTCCTGAGAACGCCCGTGTGTCCCCGCCCTTGAAGCTCAACCTCTATGCCTCAGACTCCACCTCTTAATGCCTCAGACCCTCCCCACCCCACCCCATCTCCAAGTGCCCCCAGGACTCCTGGGCCCTGCACCCGAAAATCCTGTTTCTAAGAACCCTGCCCCAGGCTGAGGGGGGCCAGAGAAAGGTCACCACGTACCACACACCAAAGAAGGGGGTGGGCCCCGGGGCTGGGCAGCGCTGGCAGCAACTCTTAGCGGCAGCCCCACCTCAAAGCAGCAGGCCCCCCTGGGCGGGGCCCAGCCTGAAAGGCAGGGGTCAGTATAACAGAAACTTAACTGTTGACGTTTTCCCCGGTGGGCTTATTCTGTAACATGACTTGTGGATATTTATATAAAAATGAGTGTTACAACGAGGCCCCGGCTCCTCCTTCAGTGTGTGTGAGTTGCCTGCGCTGAGTTGGGCTGGATCCTGGTGGAAAGGCGTGATGGAGACAAGGCTGCCTGTTACCCACCCAGGAGAGTTCTGGTTCTGGGTGGCTGGGTGGGAGTCAAGCATGGGGGATTCCACTGTAATTTTCCACAGACTAGGAATACACAATGTGTACAGCTCCGCCAACACAGAGTGACATTGAGCAGAACATTCCGTTTCCCCCAACCCCTGCCAACCCCCAACCCCCCCGCCCCCATGTTCCGGTAACCGCTATTAATCAGGTTCCTGTCTATTTACCTGTCCAAGTGTGAGCATACACGATTATATTCAAAAAGGATAACTTTTAAAATGATCAGTTATTTTGTTAAATAATACTTGTTTGTTATATAATAATTCATACACAGAGAAATATGAGGCTAAGTCAGAAACTATTGCCACCAGGGTTCCTGTGTGTACAGACAGGCTTATTCCAAACAATGTGTTTGCGGATTGCAAATTCTCTCAGTAATACTTTTTTTTTAAGTTTATTATTAATTGGGAGTTAATACATATTCCATCGCGCAATCAACAGTAATACTTTTTTAGTCTCCTTGGGGTACCTTCCAAAAAACATACGTACTAGGCTGTGGGAAAACACCAATTTAAAAGGTCAGGACTAATACAAAATTTCTAACCAAAAAAATTGGACATTTCTCAACTTGAAACTTCACAGCAAGTTTACCGGAATGCTGGGTTACGTGAAACAGATAGATCAAGCATTTTAAGGAAAGTTTGGGAAGACCTCAAAGATGAGCCAAAAGGGGGAAGATCTTCAACCTCAGCAAATGAAACTGTGGCTGAAGTCCAGAAACTGGTAAAAGGAAATCGCACAATTACCCTTGATGTGATAGCTCTTGAAGCTGGGGTCTCACGTGGTTCCACATTTTCAATTTCTTTTAAAAAAAATCATTTTATTGGGGGCTTGTACAGTGCATGATTTATATACATAGCCATTGTGTCCAGCACATTTGCACATTCACATTTTCAATTTCAAGTGAACTTGGCTGCCACAAGCTTTCAGCTCAGTGAGTCCCCAAATCCTCATCTGCTATCGCGAAGAGTCTGTCCATCAGTCTGACGCAGAATCAGGACTGATGGACGTCATTTTATGGAATGAGTCACAGCCAGACAGTGTTGGTTTTACCAATACAATCTTGAGAGCAAGACCCAATCAAAACTGGCTTCCAAGGGGACCTGCCGGGCCAGTTAAATTCAAGGCTGAGTGATGGGGAGGGATCGGTGGGAAGATGAGTTAGAATAAACTCAAGGCAGAGCTCAATGCAGAAGGTTGTGGCACTGTTCTTTGGGAATTCCCAAAGGATAATCTTCGGAGATTTTCTAGGAGGGAAAAGGGTGATCCTGGGCTTCATAAGTTTGAAGAAAATGGAAAAGTTGGTGAAAAAAGAATTGGCAATGACACCAAGGAATGTTTATCCTTCGTGACAATGTGCCGGCTCCTCCTCAGGGGCAGCAACCGCCCATGTCTGGGAGGAGGCCGTGCCCTCCAGCCCTGCGCCTTCCCTTGCAGGTGACTTCTCCCCGGAATTCAAGAACTTTGTGAATAAGCAGGTTCTGTTTAGGTCTCCCAAGGCTGACAACAGAGCCATTTTCATGTGGTGTCAAGTTCTAGGTCTTAGGGGGAGTGAAAGCAATGGAAATCCCACCTTCAGAAGCATGTAAGCCTTCAATGGAGGGTGTACTGAGAAAGCAGCAGCTTCACCTTTGGATCTTTTAAATAAATGCTGTCTGATTTTGTAGCAATGCTTTTTGACTTGTACGTAGTAAAAGGAAAATGACCCACCATCCCCAGCCCTTGGAAATAACTATTGTCGTCAGGTAAATATTTCTGGTATTCTTCTAGTTAGATACTTCAAATAGGAAACCACCCCCTGGTGGCGTAATGGTTATGTGTTGGGCTGCTAACTGCAAGGTCAGCAGTTCAAACCCACCAGCCGGTCCTTGGGAGCATGACATCGCTTTCAACTCCTGTAAAGAGTTACAGTCTTGGAAACCCAAAGGGGCGGTTTTAACCCTCTCTTACTGAATCGCTGAGTCAGAATGGGCTCAGTGGCAGTGAGCCTGGTTTGGGGTTTTACACTTAAAGTGTATTGAAACCAATCCCGTGAAATGTACTCTGCAATGTCCTTTTTGCAGTGTTAACATCACTCTTAAGGTAACCATTAAAAAAAATAAAAAGGGTCTAAGCCAGACTAGAGAAACTGCCCCTCCCCTGAGTCCTCCAAAATTGACAAAACTTCTAGCCCGGTTCCAAGTGCCCCCCCCCCCCCCGCCCCAAACCAAAGAGAGATGCTCACCTCTTTCTCTACTCACGACCCCTATCTCCCAAGAAATTTGCAGCATGGACAAACCCTGCCAGAAACACCTTAGACTCACCACGCGCTTCATTTTGAATTGATCTTTCGTCATTGCACATTCAGAAACCTTGGACTGTCGCCAATATTCTCCCAACACCCCAGATTGCTGTGCGACCCCTTACGGGGTCTCAGCCTGCAGATTAAGCAGCTTTGCCATAAGAAAGCTCCAGCCCCCCTTCTCTTCTACCGCCACCCATCCCCAAGACCCCTGGGAAAGGCCTCCGTCGCGCCAACAGACGTTAGGAACAAGTGGCCAGCAGGCCAGGCTTCGTTTGCAGACCAGGTTTCACCTGGGAGTCCTCGATCCAGGCGTCTTTGGAAACTCCTGAGATCTGTAGGCACGCCCTGCTTTAGAGCCAGCAGGTAGTCGCAGCTGAGCCACGGCTGGCTCTTGAGATAGGGCTGAGTTCTCCAGGTTGCCATGGCCCTCTCTGTTCTAAGGTCTGGAAATGGGCATCCGTCAGCCGCCAGGCTACTTCCCTAGCCCCCATGAGCATTTAAGTGTGGGACTCTCAAATGCAGGTCCAGCCCCTCCTAGAGCAGCCGCAACACCTCAGAGATCCAGACTGGGTCTGCTGCTCCGCCTGCCTGTCTCCATCGCTAAGAGCGAAATGGAGAGGAAGTTAGAAGCCTCCCTTGGCCGCTCCCGCTTACCTCACTGCTGCTCTTCCATCACACCGGGCACTGGGGATACACAGGTCATCGAGACCAAGCCCAGCTCTCCTGTGCATTGATAAGCAACAAACATGACTGCACGGTGGTGGGGGTTGGGGCAGACTTGGAGAAATCCCCAAAGCCTGGCCTTTTAGGGACTGTCCTCTCAACCACTATCCACCCCATTGCTACTGAGTTGATTCTGGTTCCGAGATCCAATCTTTAGCTTCCTCTTTCTCCCTCAGAGTGGCTGGTGGTCTTGAACCGCTGACCTTGAGGTTAGCAATATGTCCAACATTTACCTGACAACGCTCCTTCTCAACCACTGCACACCCTTGCCTGATCTCACCTCATCTGGTACCAGCTCCGGGCAGCTCCTCCAGCAGAGGTCCACTGATTTGGAACGGTCCCCAACATTTCAGCACTCCATTCTTTTTTTGTTTTTTAGTAGTGTTCTATTGCATAGGTCTGTCACACTGTGTTTAAGCATTTACAGTGCATTGAATTACTTCAAGGCCTCTAGCCAGAGACCCTGCAACTTCCATTCAGTTATTGCTGAGTGGAACTATGCAAATCATATGGTCATGGTCCAGTAGGGAGATTACACAGTTGACTAATAGTACAAATAAGGTTCGTGGTACCCTTCCTAGGGGTGGGACCAGTAAATCAGGTGCATGGAATCCCTGTGGGGATGAGACCATTGGTCAGTTTGCCGCCCTGGCCAGCAAATGCCATCCAGAGGCAGGAGGGCTGGGTGCCAAGGAGCCCTCACTACCACAAAAAGACATGGGAGAGGAGTTTATGAGTCCCTGTGCTGAGAACCTGCTAGACCCCGGAAGCAGACCCACACCCACCCCCCAAAAAACAAGCTCACTAGCATCAAGTAATGCTAACTCATAGTAACCCTATAGGACAGAGTAGGACTGCTCTTGCGATTTTCTGAGACTGTAACTCTTTACAAGAGTAGAAAGTCCCATCTTCCTCTCGGAGAGGGGGTGGTAGTTTCAAACTGCTGACCTTGCAGTTAACAATCTAAGGCAGCGGTTTGGTTCTCAACCCTTGGGTTGTGACCCCTTTGGGGGTCAAACGACCATTTCACAGCAGTCACCCAATTCATCGCAGTAGCAAAATGATGGTGATGAAGTAGCAACGAAAATAATTTGATGGATCGGGGTCACCACCACAGAAGGAACTGTCTGAAAGGGTCGTGGCATCAGGAAGCTTGAGAACCGCTGGTCTAAAGCATAGCCGCGATGCCACCAGGTCTCCTAGGAGTCCGGCCCCGCTATAAAACGGGGACAACACAAGATAGCAAAAAGCAGCCATAGAGAGACAAGGAGCGGCAGCATCAGAACCTGGAGCCAGTGTGAGACGGCAGTGAAACTTCCTGGCCTGCAGAGGCAAGCGGTGACCGGTGACCGTGGGCAGCTGTGCCAACCCACTGAGTGAGAGAGTCTTTGGACAGTAGACTTTCCGGAGGAGTGGGATGCCCTAAGGCACTTATTGGTGGGCCGAAAGAGCGCTGTAATACTTGCCTGAGCAGAGCAGAGGCTGGTCTGGCCCCAGGGGCAAAAGGCTCAAGGGCTGGGAGACCAAGGGTCAAAGAGAAGCCCGCCTGGGAAACTATCCTGACAAGAACTTTATCTTGAGTTATCTTGATCCTCAATGATAACCTATTACCTTCCTCCAATAAACCCCATAACTATGAAAGGTCTACTGCAACAAATTACTGGATACCCAGCAGGGGATGGCTGCTGTCAGAACTAGTTAAAAGGCTGGCCCGCAGGGGTGTGCTGCTTCACAGCCATCCGCCTCTGGCTGTTGATGCTGATAAAGATCCTCCTCTGTGAAGCTAGATAGGGAGGCTTCAGGCCTGCAATTATCAAGCCACTTTTACACCTTTCACCCTTAGTTAA